TATATAATGAATTATTTAGAATTGACTAACTTTTTGACTTTAAGGAAGTTTAAATATTTCTTATTATATATATATATATATAATCTACACATTTCAAATAATCAAAATTACAATATATATCAATCATGTTAGCCAAACAAGGCAGGTAATGTTTGAGTGACGAACTCTAAAACCCATTATTCGTCCATTGAAATTCACTTCCTTGGAGGGCAGTAATGCCGAACGAGCAGAATTCATAAATAAGAAGGGAATGTGCTAATAATGGGGTAGGTGTGAGGAGGAAGAAAATGAACACGCATTTGTTTTTTAATAAAAAGTCTGTATTTTCTTGCCTCCGTTCAGAAGTACACCGGTTGGCTTTCATCATGCTGCTTCACAGAATGAGTTATTGGAAGCGAGTGTAGTTTGCAAAGCCTCTTGGCTAAGAGACGTTGCACTTCGGCGAAACTTCTGTCTCAGTAATGAATAGGGATAAAGTCTAGGGTTGTCACCTTTCCAAGTTTAGGAGACTTTGGATTTCAGAAATTTTCTTCAGGTTCCGAGGTAGTACTAAAAATCTCAGAGCCCTAAACGAACTACATTAAAATATCTTTTGAAAAACACTTTTTTTTCAACGAAATGTCATTGGATTTTTATTTATTAGTCCGGTAAATAAAGGATAATTTACAAAATTATATTTGTTCCAAAAGAAAGGTGACAACTGTAGTCCCGTCGCGCCAATCAACTTTAGAGTCAAAAGACTTATGCGTGATTAATCACATTAAAATTCATTTTCTTCATTAGAAGATACTTTTGATGATTAATAGATAGAGTTTTGAAAGATATTTGACGAGTTACTGCACCGACGTTGTGGTATGCCGCTGGTCTGGCGCGAGAGAAAATTTGCTGATTTTGTTTCAGCAATGTTGGTCACATCCGATGAAACTTGACTCTCTTAAAATATCATAGCAAGGACAAAATTGAGTTAGCTGTACAGTACAGCTATAGTAGAACGTAGAAGTCATACATGCATTTAGTTGACTTCTCATTATGGCATGACGTTATATTATGGCATCCAGCTGTAATGAAAGAGTGTATATCGAGGCATTTGATTTCAAACCTTTTAAAAATTAAGCTGAATGAAGCTTTTGCATTTTAGAAATGTAGAATTGTTAAAATACGCTTTTGGAGAAAGGTGAAGTTTTTTGGACACAGAATTCACAATGTTTTTTTTAAACAACTCAAATTTAATAACTTCATTCAGATATGGCATTTTGCTATTTTTGTAAATAATAGGAAAGGAACAAAACTGACAATAATAAATATTAAATATAATGAGAATGCCATGTTTTAAATGCAACGTCACGAAATCGAAGGCGATTTTCTAGCAGTTTCAGCAAGATTCTGCTGATGATTATTAATTACACCTCTCCTTCCTTAGCAATCGTGTTTATTGGGCGAGACAGACCTTTTTCGTCGGCGAGCCTCTTGCCCTCGCCGGTGCAGTCTGGCGCGACGGGAGTAATCCAGACCCGGATTGCGAGTTAGCAGCGGCCGGGGCCCAGTAGCCTTTCTGACGTAATTTGCAGCCCTACTTTTAAGCATATGTTACTCTGATATTTTGTATGTGTGTGTGTGTGTGTTATTTTTTAAACGTGTTTTAAAGATTTTCAAATCATATTATATGGCGTCTTATGATTTATTTTTCATATTCGAAGATAAATTTTAATATTTTTAAATTTTCATATTAGGTTAATTTTTATATTTTATTGATGACAAGAATCAGGCGATAACTGTGAACGCCGCGGTAAACTGAACGAAAAAATTTAGAAGTGGGTGTTATAGCAATCAATATTCGATGCAGTTGATATTAAGGAGCTATCGTATGACCATTTTCTTATTTTGCGCACCGAGATGATTCAAAATATAATTATTTCCACGCTATTGGAAGTGGAATTCTTTAACGATGAAATTTTATAGCATGGGACCCGACCTGGAACTTTAAACCCGGGTCTGGAGAGGGAAGAGATCTGTTTTCCAGCAAAGAGTACTTTCAGATTGGATCCGTGTTCTTCAGAATTGTTTCAGGCGAACATGACCGTTTTAGACTGAATATTTCATTTCATTTCCATGTTTAATTGCCAGTTCGTCAGAATAATCCATGTTCGTTTTAAACCGTATTGCAGATATGAGAGTTCATTGCGTTTGTTAGATCGTGTCTTTCGCTGTGCGACCGGATCTCTGCTCTCTTTTCTCCGATTTAATGAGACTTCAATCGTTTGATCAGTTGGAACGCGGTTATCCAATCGGGAGCTTCAATTTCAAAATATATGTCGTAACCAAGCTCTCGTTTCGATATACACGTAAGCATCCGCGGCTCGAATCCATAAATTCTCGGCTATCCGGGAGACGCCGCGTCGTTGGCTGGGAGGCCGACGTTTCGCCTGACATGTCGCAGGCTTCCTCAGGGCAGTGACTCCCAGCCAACGACGCGGCGTCTCCCGGATAGCCGAGAATTTCTCGTTTCGATAACCGCGTCCCAACTCATCAATCGTCTGGTACTGTAATGAAATCTGAGAAAAGAGCGCAGACCCAGTCGCACCGCGTAGGGCACGTTCTGACGAACGCGACTGAACTTCCATAGACGCATTAAGTAGTAAGTAGCAGACGCATAGTAGAGACCTTAAATTTCCTTCGACCGGTCTCGGATCCACCCTGAACGTACTCCAAACGCGCACCCTGATGGAATGTGGTAGACGCGCGCGCTGAACTGTCCAGACTGAGAACTGTTGATGCGAACCCTGGGCTAGAGTCCGTAGCTAAGGTCCCAGCCAGGTCTCTCCAAAGGTCCGCGCCAGAACTCTGGGCGATGATCTTCAGTAGACTTCGGCAGCTTTCCGAGGCGCTCCCAGCGGTGAATTTGCGCACTGTTGTCACACAGTGGGGGGAAATCATGAAAAGTTGCTAAAAAAATGAAGAGGAGTTTGCAGCTTCCTTTTTAATTTTTGACCAACTTTTCAGGATTTTTTCTCTCTGTGTGACCATTGCCGGAATGGTGCGAGATCCGCCGTGCGGAAAGCTGCCGAGTTCCGGCGGGGAATTCCGGAGAGGCCTGGTCCAAGTGCTCGATGGAGACCGCCTGAGAACAAAACGCATCGACAACATTTAAGGTTAAGATTGTATACCTTATAAACAAATTAAGCATTACCATTTATGGTTATTAAAGTCATTGGTACAAAAAACAGCAAATAAAATATGTGGTTGACGTTTTATCAGCTATTGCCTCCGTTTACAATCAACGGAGTCTGTTATTTGTGTTTTTTAAGTATATGTATACTTATCGAAAAAACATCTTAATAAACAGTAATAAAAATAATGAAAACTTTATTTCTTGTAAGTGGACTGTTTTCCGGTGGCAGGATACAAATTCAATTATCTTGATACAATACTCTAAATGTAACACAATAGTCATACAAGGTATAACGTTTCTTAGAAAAAGTCTCGTACTCTAACTTTAGCTACATCTCATTTCTTGCCAATGTTCCGAACGGCCGGTCGACTGTTTACCCCTAACAGATGCACCGGCTGAGTTCAGCTCACAGACAGCATTTCGCAGTGTTTCAAACCGCGAGGTCCTAGGGTTTGAGTCCTGATGGTGGCAAGGTTTTCGATACTAGTTACATAGCTACGTCGAATTCAGCCGCTGTGCGGAGGGAAATTCTAGAACCCGGCTGCTCTGAACGGTATTTTTCCGTGGTTTCTAAAATAGTCCTCAGCTGCTAAAGGCCCGTGCGTTAGTCATGGGGAGAGAATGGTGTAAAACGTACGATGGTAGGAACGCACCAACGTTTTCGGAACATATGCAGCTAAGATCAAGTGCTTTAATATTTTTTAAAGAAAAAAAAAATAGCTCAGTAACCTATGGTTGTGGCTCATAGAAGCACTCCATCTGTATAATTAAAAAAAACTAAACAATTCGACTTTTTTGTGGTATTACTGAGGAACTCAAATTAAAATGATTGGGCATTGACAGGGGTTTATTTACAAAAACAACATTGCGTTACTAAAACGTGCTTACAGGACGCGGGTACGGTGCGAGAGGAGGCTCAACAGGAGACAGGAAGTTGATATTTATATACTGGAGTATTCGCGTCAACATTAGGGCTGTTATCGTTCCAACGAGGTCGGGCCGTTTGAAGCCGTCGACCGTGAAATATGCAAAAATAAGTATTACTCGCGCAAGTTTTCTTCATACACGAGATCCCTAGTTCTCAACCAGCGCTGAATAGCAACGCACGTTGAGATACTTAGGTTCGACTCGGAATGGCACGTACCAATTTACAATGCTAGCAACAAACATCTCGTACTTTGAAAACAATCGTAGCATTTCTCGTGGCACGCTTTGGCAAGCCAAGTTCATGTCCACAGTTGATACGCCATTTTAAGCCGTGATGTAGCTAAAGCCCTCCTCTCCCCGCACCTCCAGCTGTTGAATATCAAGAAAACTAGCGCGTATTCTACAAGGCATTTGTGAAATACAGATGGAGCAGACATAATAGTACGAACTATAAAACTAAAGTAAATAACACCATGTTATCGTATTAATAATATTCAATCCATGCAGAAATTGAAAGAAAACTGCGCAGTTGCCGGCCTTTGTAATGGTCCATTGCATTCTTAGATACTACCCAGCAATTGGGGAAAAATACATATACATCTATATCTCGATTAATAATTTGTGCAGGGCACATACATCTAAGGAACCACCGACCATGTGGGAAATAGGTTTTCCTAGATACCCAGGGACTTGGGAAAAAATACAAAAATATCTGTATTATTAATTTGGAATGCGAGCAGAAATTGAAAGTAAATTGTGCTGCATCTGACCTTTTTAAAGAAGTCTGTCGATTCATTTGATTTCCAGGGACGTGAGAAAAATACAAAAACAACTATATTACAATTGAAATTAGATTAAATTTCAGATAAATTAGAAATTAAAAATGAAGACTTTTTGTTAACATATTCAATTTATTAGTGTTATATAGTTAAAGTAATCTGTTTGTTGTTCTGAAGTCGCATGAGCGCTAGTTTTTGGCAAACAATTGAGTGTTTTTTTAGTAGTGTTTTTCTGCTGCAAGTACCTCGCTTTTAGGAAATTTACTATTTCTCACAGCCGTTTTTTTTTTAATTTTCAATTGAAAATATTAACGCATGTTATTTTATTTTTGAAATGGATCTATTAACTATTTAAATATGTTCAGTCATATTTGCCAGCTAGTAATATTTCAAAATGCTTCAGTTACCCAGACCGCCAAGAATGACCACTGACTATACTTTAACGAAATTATTATTATTATTATTATTATTATTATAGATATTATTATTGTTAATACTTTCTTCTATCTCTAGCCTAGCAAGCTGCTCTACAACAGTCTGTAGGTCCTTTTAATACAAAGATTGACACTCCTAGCTACCGTCCTAACTTCAGCGCTTCTTTCCTGAACTGTTCGGGTGGCGTGGAGCATGACATGTTGAGTCATGTATACGTTAGACCTGGTCAGCCTCATTACCGAAAGGTCTGTCTCCGCCAGCGATAAAAAAAATGTTTAAATCTTAGTGTGGAACCGGTAGCTCCACGTCGCACTCAATACGGGCGCTACAAGTGGCATTACGTAGGTGTGATTGTCTCATTTGCCGCTAATACCTTTATCTGAGGAATCGCCACCGCAAATATAAAGGACGGAATTTAATACCTTAAGGTGCCATAACCATGACGAAACTATCGAGCCTCCTCATAATATTGAAATATCGAAAATAAGCCTTCAAATTGAATAAAAAATTACGGATGTAAATTATAACTTTTGCTATTTAAAACGTTGATACTCAAACAATAATACAAAATATATGCCAATACATACAAATGATATTAAAAATATTTTTTGTGCAGCAAATTTTAGTAAATGTCTATGTTTTTGATTCTAATTAAGTTTAAGATTTTTTTGTAGTCGTTAATATATTGTTTAGAGACTTACGGGCTACTATACAATTTTTAAAATATGTTGCAGATTTGGCTCACGTGAGGACGAAACAACATGATTTATCAACTTATTTATCAACGCATCCCTTCTTACATACTGCATCCTTGCATACACAATCCACCATCCTTGCTTTCAGACACCACCATCTTTGCAATCACGTATCATCATCCTAGAATTCACACACCATCCTTGTATACACATACCACCATCCCTGAATACACACCAACCTCTTTTCAAACACTCCACCACCCTTCAGCATCCTTGAATTCAAACACATCACAATATTCCAAGATACATACCACCATCTTTGCATACACTCCAGCATCTTTGCATACACTCCTACATTCTTGCGAACATCCCACCAACCTTGCGTACACTCCACCACCCTTCCATACCCAGACCACCATCCTTGAGTACAAGACACCCTCCTTCAAACGCGACCCTCCCTTCTTGCGTACATTCTTGTACATTGAAAATTCCGCTAAAATTGAAACTCGCGTTCGTGTACTTACACAAAATATCCAGGAATTCCTTTCCTTCGCGTGTGGCTGAGTCGGCCGTCGAGCCCCTCTAGTGCCGCTCCGATGTAACACACAACCGGCGCGCTCCTGCCGTCGTGGCTTCGGAGCGCGCCACGCGCTTTGCAGATGGAGCCAATCTTCGGCGGAGTCGGCGAAGGTCCGTGGGCGGCCCGCATGTCCTGTTCTGCAGGGAGTGGGCCCTGATCACCCGGTGTGTAGAACGCCCGGCGTCCCTCGCGAGGCCCCTCCGGAACCCGCGGCCGCGACCCCCCGACGCCCCTCACCGCCGAATCCCCAAGGCCCACGGAGCCCGTTTCGGCGCCCGCGAGCGCGCACTCGCGGGGGAGGGAGGGCGGAGGACGAGTCCGGACAGGGCGCGGACTTAAGACACGGCACGAGGCGCCCCTTCAGAAGCAGCAACTACTTGGCCGCAGTCGGGAACTACCTGGCTGTCCGGAAGACCAAGCCCCTAAAACTTTGATACTCAAACAGTAAATACAAAACATATGTCAATACATACAAATGAAATTAAAATTCTTTTTTGCTGCAAATTTTAATAAATTGTCTACGTTTTTGGCTCTGAATTAATTTTAATATTTTTTTGTGGCCGTTAAGGTATAGTTAATATATTGTTTTAGAGACTTATGGCCTACTATACAATTTTTAAAATATATTGCAGATCTCGTTCTCGAGTTCGTATAGAATTAGATGAGCATGTGTTTAGGTTAAAGACCTAAGCACACGCAGGGGCGCCCAGAGAGAACAATGAGCCTGGGACAGTTGGTCATTTCAAATTCATTTATTCCAAACAAAATATTCCCTTCTTCTCCAATTCATAAACAGAATACATTTCTCCATGCATCGGAAATAACTTGTACCATTAAATTTGGATTAGATATAAATATATTTTTTTAAATTTCTTTTGAATGAAAAAAAATTGGTGGTCGCAATTAAGTCGGGGCCAGGACAAGTTGCCCCAGCTTCTCCTCCTCTAGATGTCCCTGGGCACGCGTGCAAGCGTTTCCCCCGCCATTCTGCGGCCTTCCTCAGGGCGAAATGGCACATTTCGTGTTTCGCCCTGAGGAAGGTCTCAGAATGGCGGACGAATCGTTGGCACCTAGGCCTAGGACGCGACGTCTCCCGATCAGCCAAGTAGTTGAGGATAGTACTGTGGCGAGCCAGGGAATTGAAATGGCACAGAGATGATGGACTAGGGAAATAGTATCTATAGGATTGGATCGGACTTGATTTAATTTTATATTATTTATTTAGTCAAGGAACAGTAAAAACTGAATGTGACGAATGGGGGAGCGTTTGCGAACGTTTTCTTGAGCTCCAGAATCCCTTCTCAACACTGTAAATACAAATTTTTGAAAGATGAATAAACGTTTAAATAATAATAAAAATATTTCAAAAAGAGTGAGATTAGCAACATTTAAAAAGCTAGAAATTTTCGTTCGCGTTACAGCAAACTTATTTGCGTTGATAAACGAACTGCAGATTTGAATTTTTTGCATTGCTAACAAAATTCTAACCCTTGACCTCTACAAGCGAAAGGACAAAACCTGATCGAGATGGGGCTCATTGAACCGGAAGGTGAAGTTCATTGTCTATAGCAGGATTGTCCATCAGGCGGCCCGTGGTGCCGTTTACTTCGGCCTGCTTTGGTTACTACTCGAAAGTGAGTCAGTCGGTCGAGAATATTGTGCGCCCAGCGCTCGCGCCCTGCCGGGATCAACACCCCCTTCAATTTAAAAATAAGGTAAATTTAGATTCAAGATTTTTTTCTAGTAAATTCAGAAATTCAAACTCATCCCAATGCATTCCATTGCTTTATGTATGGTACGGCGTGATATCACGCTTGGCTCCATTGCTTGCCCCCCCCCCCCGTTTCAGAGCAGCCGGGCAAACTGAGTAATGCCCGAGTAATGAAAATATGGCCCGCAACCATATTAGAGGGTTTAGTTGTGTCCCTTAAGGCCTTGCAATTTGGATACCCCTGGTCTACAGTATAGAATTGGATGAGGTATGCGTTTAGGATTGAGTGGGACGCAAGTTGAGGATTGGATGGGACGTGCGTATAGGATTCGATCGGACATAAGTGTAGGATGAATGGGACATAAGTACGATCCAATTAGCCACAGTACTATTAGACCTTCGACCAATTTTATATTTTACTCAACCTGCAGAGAGCTACATGCGCTGAAATTGAAACTTTTCGGAATTTGTTTTTTTAACACTCTCATTTATTTATTCATTTATTTTTAGATATATCTTCACATCATCGAACGAGGCTCTTGAATTGCAGCCCGAATTCTTGTCTTAAGCCGTCCATGACCGGAACGGGGGAGAAGAGGGAAGGGGGCAAAAGCTTCCGATCTGAGATTGTTAGTAGCGAATGGATTGCACACTGTCAATATGAGATAGCTAATATTTTTTTTACACCTTGAATATAACGAATAGAATGATTATGACATGAGTTTTCTGAAGGAAAGTACTGAACAAACTCTGGTGAATTTTAAATTTCCTAAACAAAATTATTCAATTGATTACTAATCACATCAAAGTGTGAATGTCTGCTTCTTGAAAAAGTGTGCAAATTTTACGTTTGCTGATGTCCTACAATCTCTATAAATGCTTCTGGATGGGCCTTAACACACGAAACTGTGAAGCTCATTTTTTTCGAACAAGCAAGACGGACACTTTTTCAAAACCAAAATGGCGTATATAAACTAAAATGGCTGCCAGTACCGCGTCAAGGTTTGGTTTTGACTTGCTACGAAATTGTGTTTTATGATTCATCTCGTACTTTCATTTTTACCTACAAAAATAATTTAATTTTTATAGGAAAAATGAAAAACGAGATGTACCGTAGAACTTGATTTTGTAGCAAGTGAGAATCAACCGCTTGACGCGGTAATAGCAGCCATTTTGGTTTCGAAAAAGGCATCTTGTTTGCCATTAACAAAACATGCTTCATAGTTTTGTGCATTACGGTCAATCCAGAAGAATTTACAATGACCAGTTGATCAGAGATATCTCCTCTCCCTCCAGATGTCCTCCAGAGTTTTTAGCAAAAATCGGGGGAACCGCGGATCCCTCAACGAACGAAACCTGACGCTTTACACACACGGGCGATAACTAACCAATCTGATGTTACACGCATTTTAAATACTTTCTAGATCTTATTAATTCCTGTTATATTAGATGTTATTTAATTCTTGACGTTACTTAGATATTCATTCTTGTTTTTGTTACTTTCATAATCTAATCTTTTCATATGATTTGTATCTTGACCATTCTTGATGTTACTAAGATGTTATTGGAACCTGATTTGCTTTGATGTCATCGGCAATGTTGGTAAATAAATGCCCAGGGGAAGTTCTTGAATTAGTACGTAAAACTTCACTGATAATCTTTAGTAATAGTATTAAATGCCAAAAGGAAGTTCTCGATTTAATTAGATGTTGAAGGGCATTGGCGTTATTAAGATGCCCAAGGTCAGTTCATGACGTATTAGATTGTTATTATATTGTTGGATTGCATGCTATAATGTTGCATTGCATGCCATAGTTGGATGGATGATAGGCGCTATTTTATCAGTCATCTCTTTTGAGTCCTAGAGAGTCCTAGAGAGACATCTTTGACGACTCGAGTTTCACTGAACTTGTTTGTTTTCTTCGTTTTGCGGTTGTTTGAGTGCGTTTGTGCGAGAGTCAAGTTTCTGATGAGAGATTCAAACTCCCTTCATCACTTCCAACCCAAAATATTAAGTAGAACTCGCGCTGACGTGTCTTATTTTCTAGGAATCTGGTATTCCTTTGGTAGATAGTCTGGCGAATCCATAGGAGACGCCAGTTATCCTACCATATCAAGGCTTGTGGGTTTGCGTGCTGGTACGCAAGATCTCTTTGAGGTGAGGAGAAAGACAGTGTGAAGATGGGGAAGAAAAGAGGAGTGCAGAATGGTGTGATATCAATGGGAAGGAAGGGAGATGGGATCATAGGGATTTGGTATTGAGATGGAGGCAAGAATGTCGGTCGAAATTTGTCGCCGCCATCGCCGCCGCATGCACACTGAAAGAAAGGAAATGCGATTTAGGATTTAGCAACTGAAATAATAATGATCATAGTAATTATAAAACTCGCTATAATATTCCCTGAACTATTCTGCTAGACGTGATAAAATTCTTGAAGCAATGAAAAAAATGTATAGATTCCACCAAAACATAAATTTATATATTTTTTTGACACAAGCATTACATATTTCTTTTTTATAAAAATGTTATTATAATCCAAGAATAGCAAACATTTTTTTAAATATTCAGCATTTAATTAATTTATCGGAATACATAGCTCAAAATGTGATTAAATTCATTTATGATGTTTAGAATGAAATGTTGGTGTTATTATTTTGATTATTTTTATTATTACTATTATTATTACTATTATTATTATTATTATTATTATTATTATTATTATTATTATTATTATTATTATTATTATTATTAGGTCGCGAAATGCAACCCCCAGGGGCTCAGTCATATACAATGAAGATAGATGCACGTGGCATTAACGGAGGGGGAACAGCATTTTCGTGCTGAATCCGCTTTTACACCCAGAGTTGTTAGCTCAGGGGATGAGATGAAGTGACAATGATGATGAAAGATGAAACGAACAATAATAAACATGCAGAGACACACACAAACACAACCATGCCCGAGTTGGGACTCGAACACGCTATTCTTTGGCCCGAGACAGCCGGGGAACGACTGCCTTCGCGATCTCGACTACCCGGATCAACTTTATTATTATTATTATTATTATTATTATTATTATTATTATTATTATTATTATTATTATTATTTTATCGTTTAACTTTTAATTATTATAATTATTATAATTAACATCGTTTTTCTCAGCGTTCGTCATGTTTTAATTAACCTTGTTAGACAAAGGTCAATTCATGTTTTTTTTAGAAATTTTCTTGCAGTAATGCATGTGTTTAAGATCATGAATTTTTGCAGTTTTGAAGATGTCTGGGTATTTTTATAAGTTCCAATTTTTTTTTTTTTATGTTGGTTGGTAGAACCTCCGTGCAAGTAATGGCCAGAGAAATATTCGTACTTTTACATTAACTTTAACATTCTCCATGCTCATATGTGTATGCATATACGGAGTAATGCAGTAATGCAGAGACACGTAGTACAGAGAAGTTATGTAATGCAGCAGAAACTCGATTTCCAGATTACAATTGAAACACACGTTTTGGGGGTTCCCTGTAACTGAAAACTGTTTTTTTTTTCTCTTCGTCCGTCCGTTCTTTACGTGAAGCCCCTGGCACATTTTAAAAATATTTTTAAAAGCGGCTCCAATTTTTTTCTTTTAATTTCTTGTAAGAATAGAGTAAATTACATTTATAAAGTTGGTAAGGGTCCATTTTCACTGTTAACTCTGAATTTTTGGAAATTTCAAAAGAATGGAATTTTTACATCTACATATTTTAAGATACAGATTTTTTCCTTCGAATTAAATTCGTTCTCGAATAATTAGTTCTTTCATTAATGTCATGTTCATTTTAAAAATGTTAATACTTTTCCCACAATTGTGAATGCAATAAGTGCACTATTAAAAATTAACAAAAACAAAAATTTCTAAAAAACTACTCCAATTGTTTTGTATAGTTTTGATAGTGTTAGTGCTGTAACAGATGGCATAATGTAATTTTGCATTATTCTTTTTCTAAATTATACAATTGAATTTTTTTGACATATCTCTCACATGGTTAATATTATTTTACCAGCGATTTGTATTTATGATTACAATTAAAAGTACATGTGCGTCCGAGTCATTGTTGTCGAATCATTGTAGCATTTCAATCTTATATTCCGAAAAGGTAACAGTATTTCAAATAGGTATTAACTAATTTATAGAAAAATAATGTGTAAATGTATAACAAATGGTCGCATGGAAAAGAAAACGAACAAAGACATATGAAATATACAAATTCTAAGTTACGAAACATCCAAATGTCCGGAATGAATACGAAGTTCTAAATTCGGACCAGCTATTATTTTTGTCTCCAAAACAGCCCAAAAATACTCAAATTTTCGAAACATTGCATATGACCTCATTTCAGATATTTAAAGAACAGATTTTATTAAGAAAAAACTCTGTAACTTCAACATTTTAGTCGTGGGGCACGCCAAAAACAAATTGACTTTTCTCATTTTCGAAAAATCAGATATTTCAACGAAAATTAGGGTTGTGCCATTCTCGTAAGCTTTTACGCTCTTAAACAACAAATAAAAAAGTTTGGAGTTTTCAAATTTTGAAAATGTCCCATGAGCTTCAAGCAAAGTACCCCCAAAATTAAAATATTGGTTTCAACTTCAAGGGGCCGCAACCTCTGCCAGATCGATTGGGAATATCAATTTCAAGGAGAATCTGAAGATATCGCCTACAGAGGGCAACAGCAACTGTCAGGTGAACCACGAAACACTCTGCGACATGGTGATTGTTAGGAAGGTTACTTGGATGATTCTATGACACACAAAATATCTACGGCAAACAGAAGAAAATAATACAGATATACAAGAAACATCTTGTTCTACCAGTAATTATATTTTAAATGAAATCGGCTCAATCCAAGAGTTAACTCCCTCGATAATAAATATTACCAATTGCTCTAATTTCACAATTATTTTTTTCCAAAAAGTAAATCTAGACTCTCTATGTTTCTCCAGTATTGGTTTTCTTTACTTGTTTGCAGTTAGGTATAAAGTATTTAAGTAATGAAGTAAAAAGCTCAATGAATTTAAATTATTTAAAAAAATAAAACATTTTAAATGTTTTCTTTTTAGTTTTAAAACATTAATTTCATAGTCATAGAGAAAGTTTAGTGTTCTACTTGCGTAGAATTACCGACTCGCAAAATTCTGACACTCTTACGTCGCTCGTGTCGTAAACATCAACTCGTGAATAATAGCTCTCATTCTACGGTCGTTGAAGAATCTGCCATTATAGGCATAAATAAAAACCCATTTATTCAGAATGATGTATTTTAATGCAACCTTTGCGGGTATCGAGAAGAGAGCATTGCAAGCATTCAAAGAATCGACAACTGGGTTCCTACGAAATAAGAGGGAAAATGATTGTAAGGATCTCATATAAAAGCTGCTGAAATTGTAATATAAACAAAGAAGCACTACGTTTTTGAAGATCCAATTTTCTTCGTTTACATTTATACCGAAGAATTGTGTTCTAAGGCAATATATATATATATATATATATATATATATATATATATATATATATATATATATAACCACAAAGAACAGTTTTATTGAGTTTCATTGGATTCGCGATATAGAGGAATTTCGAGTCTAGAAATGTTTGCTACTTACTGTTATTGGTTTCGTTACATGATTGCCCCACTTCATTGTGAAATAGTCATCTTGAGAAGTCATCGTTGCATTACATCAAGAATATCACGTAAGAATTACCAGTGATTCGTACAGAAAAGTTCAAGTGTGACGTTGAGAAAACTTCGGGATGAGGTAATTTGTTAGGTCTTAAATAACATCAATAAAAACACCTTATTAGAATGAGCTATGTTTTTGTACACTTTTATTACATTAGTCAAAAATGGCGGAAGTACTACATTTATGGTTTGTTATATTGTATATTTATGTAATGTTATATGTAAACGGATGTTACGTTTACGAGAATGATTTAAAGTTATAACGATGTCAGTTTTGTATTGTATTGTTGGTATTCTGCAATGCCAGGACACAGAGATCTTTTCTCACCATTCCATCTTTTTAAGTAGTCCTCTCTATTTTTTTACTGCATGTGTAAACACAGAAACACGGTGTATTCTACTGAATAAAAGACACTGAAGAACTAGAAATAGACTATTAGTACTATCCAGAGGCGTATCTACGTACTCAGGCGCCCATGGCAAGCATCGAATTTGCGCCCCAGTCAGGATACTTCAAATTATGGTTGATATTTGTTTTATCGGATATACTCGAAATAGCGCACCTGTGAGTGACTCTCATGGCACGTGCCGAGTCTGCCATACCGTAGATACGCCTTTGGTACTATCGTAGTATAAAATCAATATCTAGGTGTGCGTATGATCGTACGTGTGGGATTTCCTGAACTTTCCCGCTGGTGTGGTGGTTAAAAATACAAGGTGAGATCCCACAGCCCGTGGATGCAGCTAGACAAAACACCGCGAATTACTTACCGGCGCAACGGCGGCGGCGACAGACGCAAAGCACGCCGCGCGGGCGGCGAGCCAAGAATCGCCTCGCACTCTCCGCGCGGCTCCGACCGCTCACTGGGTCGATCCGCGTGACGTCGGCGCTTTTATTGCGGTGGTCACGTCACCGCCGCCGCCGCCGCCCC